AAGATGATTTGAATCATGTTTGGGGAAAAAAGATAGGACATGAGCCGTGGTGATTCTAAGGGCTAGAACCTCAGCTGGAGCAGAAACACAGAGAGAAAAGAGTGCTGTCTACAGAAACAAAGCAGATGCAGACACTTCATAGAAAAATGTGAAAGGGACATAGTGACAGCCAATTTTGCCTTCTTCCATGCACAACTGGTACACAAATAAAGATAAGCATGCAAGCTAGGTGTGGTGGCACATGCTTGTCATCTCAGCACTCAGGAGGCTGAAGCAAGAGGATTGCTGTGGGTTTGAGGCCAGCCTGGGCTATACAGTGAGTTCCAAGCCAGCTTGCACTAAAAAGCAATACCCTGTCTAAAATAAATTAAATAAATACATAAAGATAAGCATGCAGAACATCTTGGGATGTCCCACCCCACCCGAGTCTCCCGAGCCTCCCAATCCTTCGGTACGCTGGGCCTCCCCATTCCCCATCACAGTGCCTCACCAGGCCACCATTATTGCTTGGGCAGTCTTTGTTTCCCGTCCCTCCTGCCGACTGAGGTTCCTGGCTGCTCTCACCACTTCTTCCTTAGTTCGAAAATCTCCCAGGGACCACTCGTGTACAGGGCTCTCACCATACTGTATGAGTCCCACCTGAGAGGACATTGTGCATCAAACGGAATATACACAGAAGTAGGGAGAGGAAGGACAAGAAAGGATGTGAGGGGGAGAGATAAACACTTAGACACTACGGAAGACACCACCCACCTTTATCTCTCCACTTCCAAGCCCATCCATAATGCTTTATCTTACCTGTATTTGTTCTGGATCAATAAACAATCTCCCTACCAGCCTCCGTAGGAAAGTCTGTACTTCAGACCAGGGGTAAATGCTGTTGGATCCATCCAAGACAATGACAACATCCATGTATGTGGGGCAACCTAGGAGCAGGGGTATGGTAAAGAGAAATAAAGAGGTAGAAGGCTACCAGGCTTCAAAGGAAGAGACCATAGGAGTGCACATCCAATTCATGTATTAATCACTTTTTCAGGTAAGTGTAAAAGGCTCTGGGAAAATGCAGACAAAAAAAGGAAACAGGGCATATATGCAATTTAGGAAAACACAAGGAAGGAAATAAAAGCAAGGCTGTAACATAGTACCATTCTGTGTAGGCAAATGAAAGATGGTCCATTTCTTTCCAGTGCTGGGGTTTGAACTCAGGGCCTTGTCCATGCTAGGTACATGCTCTGTTGGGCTATCCACATAGCCCTTGAGGGTCTAGGTGGAGAATATAATGAGGTAGAAAAAGAAGGTATTGAAGGACTGGGGTTGTATTACTGTGGTAGAGTGCTTGCCAGGCATGTGCAAAACCCTGGGTTTAGTCTCTAGCACTGGAAAAAAAAAATTGTAGACTAAAGATGTTTGAGGACAAGGGAATGTAAGGCAAGGTGTATGGGTAAAAAATAATGGAAACAAAGGAAAAGAAGGTATGAAAATGATGACACATAGGAGAACAGTAATGTGAAGGCTGTGCCCAAGACACAAGTGTACAGAGGGGCAAGCTGAGTTCCTAAGTTGGTTAGATCAGATCATGGAGAAAGACACCTTCTTAAGGGGTCTGACTTCTGTTAGGAATTTTTTGAAGTGTTTGCAGCACATTATATAGCCCCGAGGACAGACACCCAGGCTGCTGCCAGGCATCACACTACTTCCTCTTTTGCCCAGCCAGCCCTCCCTTCCGGGGATGGAGGCCCCAGGTCTTACGTTGGGCAGTAGGCGCCAGGCTTCCTTGGGGCTGGAATGAAGCATCCACACGGGCACATATTCCAGAACTGAAGACAGAGCTGCCACAAGCACGAGACCAGAGAGGGGCACAGGCCTGGGGATGGTAGGGGACACTGCCACTCTGAGCTTCCCAGGTATTGCCCTAAATGCACTCCTCAGAGGATGCACTGGGGCCACTCCCCGAGATGCCCTGCTTTGCTCTCTAGGAGTTTTAGCCCCTTGACACCTCCACACAGAACCACAGTCTCCCTCACCACAACACTCTTCTCTTCACCGTAAGCCTCCAGGGGCCCTTCCGCCGCCCTGCCCTCAGCTCACCAGAAAGCCCCCATCAGCATCTGTCTCTAGTAGAGACATCCCCAGGTGCATATTCACAGCAGGATGAGATGAATTTCCCAGTTGGTAATCACCTGGTTGGAGGGAGGTGGGAGACAAAGGTCATGGGGTCACAGCTGGGATGCTCAAGTTCAGAATGGTTTTGGAACAGATTGAGAAGGGATCAGTAACAGATTGGAATAGGAAGTGTGTGGGTTATGTGGGTGAAGAAGCCAGTATATCAGTATATAAGGAGTTTTAGCTGTTAGGGCATGAAAGACAGGGGCTTAGAGGGGGCAGGCATCTTTACCCAAGTGGCTCTTGGCACAAGGGGCGCTGTGGGGGCCATCTACAGGGCAGCGATAAACATCCCCTCTGCGGTCACCTGAAGGCCCGTCCCACGGGGCACCCACCAGCATCCTGTGGGAAGGGTGTGAGTACGAGTATAGGGTGAGCATAACCCTTGATACAGACCAGGAGGAGAGCACGTGGAGGTGCCGCCTTAGGCTCCCCAGCCACCCAAGGTGAATGCATACCTCTCAGATGCATAAATATAAACAGTGAGTAAATATATGAAAAAATGTTGAACATCACTGGTCATTTGCGAGGTACAAATTAAAAAAAAAACAAACACTAAGATTTCATCTCACCCAGGGAAAGAATGGCTATTATCAAGAAATCAACCAATAACAAATGCTGAAGGCGCTGTGGGAAAAAGGAACCCTTCTCCACTCTTGGTGGGAGTTTAGGCTGGTGCAACTACTATAGAAATCAGTATGGAGATTCCTCAAAAAGCCAGGGTTGGAGGTTCCACTTGACACAGATATTCTCCTTCTAGGTATCTTCCCAGAAGAATTAAAAACATTGTACCACAGTTGATATACGTGCACCCATTTTATAGCAGTACAATTTGTTATAATTAGATCTTGGAAACAATACAAATGCCCCTCAAGTGTGGAATAAATAAAAAAATGTAATATTTTTCTACAGTGGAGACTACTCAGCCATCCAAAAGATAAACTGGAAACTTTTAGAGGAAAATAGATGCAACTTGAAACCATGCTCACAAGTGAAGTAAATCAGACCCACAAGTGCAAGCATTGTATTGTCTTCCTAGTGTGAGAAGCTAAAAGGTAAATAAGATCCAAAATGTGCAATAGATTTCTTTAAATAGGAAGAAACTGCTCAAAATAAAAAGATGGGGCCTGCCCCTTAGCTCAGTTCTTTAAGTGGCTGCTTCAACAAAGCAGTCAGGTTCAGCTTGCTGTGGTTCGATCCCCACAACTCAAGCCAGCCAAACCTGCCCTGAAGGCATTCGGAGCAAAAAAAAAAAAAAAAAAAGAAAGAAAGAAAAAAGAAAAAAGAAACCAGAATGAGGGAAAGAAGAAAAATTTCTAATTACTAATCTCTCTTAGTTCATTGAAAAGAAAGGTTTGTGTTAACATTGTTTGGACAACTAAATGCCTATATCTTGTACTTTGAGTACCTAAAGATAACAATAGTCAATGTGTTAGCCGCTGTTATCTTCCTATTATTTTGAAAATTTTGGGGCTTCTTCCTCTTTGAAATAATTAATTTAATTAATTAAAAAACAGCTCCAGCCAATTTCAAAAGAACAGATGAACTCAAGAGTCCCACATACTGCGCTGGGCATGGCAGCGAGCGCCTCATGTAGCTGCAGCACTCAGGAGGCTGAGATAGGAGGATTGTTGAAAGTTCAAAACCAGCCTGGTCTACAAAGTGAGCTCAAGACCAGCCTGAACTGCACAGAGACCCTGTCATAAAAAGACAATAAGAAGAAACAAGAAGCATCCCAAGTATCTTTCCTTCTGTTTTTGGCACTGTCAGTGTCCCAATCCCTGGTTTCCTCCTCACCATCGCTGGCCACCCCCAACGTGTTGTAAGACACTGTATCCAAATTCAGCCTCTGGCGGCCCCGTGAACAGGCGTGGGTGATGTACGTCCAGGTTGAAGGGGAGGCAGAGACCTGAGGAGCCAAGGTCAGGAGGTTAGCCCAAAATGCTCAGCGATGACAAGAAAGGGCCAAGCAGGGCAGACAAGGGGCAACTTCCTGTTGGTCTTTCAGCCCTCTTCTCAGCTCTCCTGTCTTGTGTCCATGTCATGGTCCCAGAGCCAAACACAGAATGATCCCCTTCCTGCGTTTGGGTCCTGTGGCCCTCTGGCACGCTGGTGCACAGCTGTATTTCCATTCACACTCCTGAAATCTCATTCACAGACATGTCTGGAAAGGTTGTTACCCTTTTCCATATCAGCCCTCCTACACATCCTCCTCTCCAAACTGTGAGGGTGAAAAGAGGGAAAGGGCCTTTCTGCAGCTCCAAAATAACCATCCATTCCAAATTCTCCCCACATCCAGGGCCCCCAAAACAGCAAGAGGATGGTAAGGAGCACTGGGTCTGGGTCTCTCCCCTAATTCTTGGCTCCCAGGGACCATATCACACCCTCACTTCCCTTTCCAATGTCTAGGTCTGTGGTTCATTCCAACCCTGGAGACCTCAGTGGTAATTAACAGGGTGGGGTTGCCCGCCTGTCCGCACACATGGTTTGCCAAGGGTCCCCTCACCCCATCGCTTCCCATAATCTTTCTTTTTCTTTTCTTTCTTTCTTTTTTTTTAAACTCTCATTTACCTTTTCAAGTTCAAGGGTAAGCCCCTTGCCTACCTCCATGCTTTCTTCAGATTTTGGCCCACTTGTAAGGCACTCAACCATGTCTTTCTGACCCCAATTCCCTTAAAATCAGAACTGATATTTTAGGAAACAAAGATTACAGGGCACTGGCAAGGAAAAATTCTCAGCCCTCGGTCCCTCCCATGGTTCTCTTCCCAAATTCGTGTCTTGTTCCTTACTTTTAAGCCACTCCCTCTCAGGCTCCCCACCACAGACAACCACACCAGTGGCTACGGCTCTAACCAAACACCTCGCTTTCAGGAGAACGCTTTGTATAGGAGCCTCTTTGCATCCAGGAAACTGGCAGGGCAGTATGACCAAGCACTGTTGCTCCCTGGTTATATAAACCCAAAATTCTGACCACGCACATAGTGAGGCAGTTGTGCCTCATGCCCCAGGGACTGACAAGGGTAGGGGGAAGAGAAGGAGGTACTAAAAATCAGACTAGCCACGTGGAAGGGCCTATCATGTTTCTCTTCCATCTTCTCGTTCCCACCTGGTTTAGGACAAAGGTTTTAGGTTAGGTACAAATCTTACACAAGGATCTAGACAGCATCAGTCTCTGCCAGTCTTCATACTGAAGCAGTCATATGTGGGAACATAACATATTCACACCCATGAAATACAGAAGTATTTACCTCCTGCCCTACAAGTCCCCAAATTTTAACCTCAGTAGTGCCAATTCCAAGCAACCCACATATCATCTACACCCCCAGAAGCCAACAAGTTAACTTCCCTCACCTGTCAGACACACCAGGGGCAAGAACAGGTGAGGTAAGAAGGGAAGCTCCATGCCTGGCTGCTCTGTCCTGTGAGACGTCTCCGTGCCTCTATCCCTTTCCTCTTCTGTTTTCTGTAATTTCTCTCCTATCCTGCCCCCTCCCACTGGCAGCTAAAAATAAAAGCTGGAAGGAATGGGAGGAGTGCGGGTGGGAAACCGTGGGGAGCCCCAGACCAGGGAGAGGACTGAGAGACCTTAAATCTATTCGCCCAACTCGGTGCTGCCCCCTGGAGGCCTCATCTCAATGTCCAAAAAGGACAGAATTTTTGACTTGGCAGGGTCAAGCCCTTGTAGTTCAGGCTGACCTTGAATCCAGCATGTAGCCCAGGCTGGCTTCGAACTCGCAATCCTGTTGCCTCCACCTCCCAAGTGCTGGGATTACAGGTGTATGCCACCAGGCCTGGTCATCTGACCATTTCTGCTGCTTCTTTTCTCTTTTGTTGCCCAGTTAACAATGCTTTCATCAGATTTGGAACAGAATGTAGGAGTGGGAAAAAGACTGGTTTTTACTTCCTAACCTTATTTATCTCAACCTGGGACATGCAAAATGAAAGAGCTGATGGCAGTTAGCAAACCAGCCCCAGTCCATTCGGTCCTTCTGGGAGCTCTGAGCCTATGCTGCTTTGTGGTGTTACGGCTTTGGAGGGGCTACATCTATCAACTGGTGTTAGGTGGGTTTTGTTTTGTTTTGTTTTGTTTTTTGTGGAACTGGGGATTGAACTCAGGCCCTTGTGCTTGCCAGGCAAGCGCTTATTCTACTGAGCCATCTCCCCGGCCCCAGATGTGTTTTATACTTTAGCATAGACCACCCCTGTCCCAATGCAATGGGGCTGTACCTTTCTTACTTCTCAGAAGACTTGAAGGGTCATAAAACTTCTCAGTTTTTGTATATTTACCCTGAACACTATAGATACCGTACAAAAATCTATGGGTGATATTAGCAGACAATCCCACGAAAAAACAAAACCACAGTGGCAAGAATAAGAAGCTGATGTGATGAGAACACGAGGGACCAGATCAAATGTCAGTGGGCAAACAGACCTTTAATTTGCTAGCTGGGAGTCTTGCTCTCCATTTTGAACATGGGCCATGGCAATTTACACAGAACCATTGTACAGTATTTACAACAGGACACTGGGCACAGCATCAATCTGGACAGGTAGAGTAAGAACCAGCTAGAGAACAAAGCTCTGAATTCAAGGTATAAGCAGCAATCTGAAGGCGTACAGGGAAGGGGAAGGGCCAGATCACCCGGGAGGTTGGTGAGGTAGCTATGAGGGTGGGAGCGGAAGCATTAAACAACCTGCGGCGCAGACACGAAGAACGAGTTCACTGGGACAGAAAGTTGTTAAAAATTAGGACTTATGCCAGGCATGATGGCACATTGTAATCCAAGAACTCAGGAGGCTCAGGCAGGAAGACCACTTGAGTTAGAGGCCAGCCTGAGCTGCAGTGAGGCCCTGTATCAATAAACAACAACACAAATCATAATTTGAGCCAGGTGTAGTGGTGCACACCTGTAATCCCAGCACTTGAGAGACTAAGGCAGGAGGATCATTGTGAGTTCTAGTCCAGCCTGGGTTCCAAACTGAGCTCAAGGCCAGCCTGAACAGCACAGTGAGACCCTGCCTCAAAAAGCC